CACTTGTCTTGCACGTATACAACAGTTGCTGACTTAATCGTTAGGATGCTTACACGCATGTGCATGGGCGTATACCTACATCCGTACATGCATGCATGCGTGCATACACGGATGCATGCTCACATGTGCACATGCATCCATGCCTACGTGCCTACCTGCCGGCTAGCTGCCTAGAGGCATGCATGCCTACAAAGAAACAGACACATAGACATACGTGTATATCGATTTGCATCTCTCCACCTATCTATCAATCAATCTATCTATCCATCTATGTATCTGCCTATCAATCTATCTATCCATCTATCTGTCTATCCATCTATCTATCTATCCATCTGCCTACCTATCGACCTACCTACTGAATTGCTTGTTTCTATGCATAGCCGGCAAGCTAGCTAGCCAAGCCAATCAATCCTACTCAGTCAGTTCTAGCCTAGTCCAACCCAATCAGTCTAATTCAATCGAATCCAATCCAAAGGAATCGAACTGAGTCCAATCTAATCCAAGCGCATCTAAGCCAAACAAAACTAATGTGTTCTGATTTCTTTTGACATAGAATCTAATCGGATCCAATGCGATCTCGTTTAGTGTAGCTCATCTACCTAATCTCATCGACTCATCGACTCTATTTGGATTCGTTCAGTCAAGTCTAATCGCTTCTAACCCAATCTGTTGTTTTAGTCGAATCTAATCAATCCAACCCAGTCGAAAATCTAATCTAGGCGGTTCTAATCTGGGTCAATCCAGTCCCATCGAATCTCATCCAATCTAACCTGGTCCAATCTAACCTCACCCAATCTACTCTATTCATCGAATCGAAACGAAGAGTCCAACCTAAGCTATCTTTATGTGTGTACCTAATGTATACGTATATATATATATATATACATATGCATATGGTACCCCCGTATTTCTGTGTGTGAAAACATATTCATATACATACGTATGTACATACATAGAAAGCCAGCCGTAGCAGAATTTGAGCGGTTTGATGGCAGTTGCCATCAGCAACATCATATCGAAAATCCCACGTAATGTAGGGGCCTAAATAAATACCTATTTTTTGGGGGGTCCTTAATAGAATTATAGTATAAGGGGCCCCGAAACCCTATTCTAATTATTAAGGCCCCTACATTAACGGCAGTGGACTGACGAGCCCGGGCAGCCGCGTAGTGAGGCATTTTGCAGGGATTCACCCAGCCCGGGCCCCCCCCCCTTCCTGAGGCACCTGTAGTAACATAGGAGCCTAAATAATTGCCAAGACTATTTTGGGAGTTCCTCGTTATAGTTATAGTACAATGGACCCCAAAACCCTATTCTAATTATTAAGGCCCCTTATATAGAACCCTATCATGGATCCCTTACAGAACCCTAGGACCCCTTTAAAGGAAACCCTATTCTAGTTATTAAGGCCTCTACTATAGAACCCTTTCATAGAATCCCTTATAAAGCCCCTTAAGGATCCCTTTAAAGGAAACCCTCTTCTGATTATTAAGGCCCCTACTATAGAACCCTTTCATAGAATCCCTTATAAAACCCCTTTAAGGATCCCTTTAAAGGAAACTAATTATCATCGTATAATGGACCCCCAAAACTCTATTCTAATTATTAAGGCCCCTGCGGTACATGTCCTTCCCACGAGCTGGCCTTGGCCTCCCCTTAACTTAGAGGTCGAAAGATCCAGAATCTCAAGTCCTGCTTCGATTTGGGGCATTTTGGGGGGTAGAAAGGTGGCTGTACGGTTCTATACGGGTTCCGGAAGGGTTCTTCAAGGGCTTCGAGCTTAGGGTTAAGAGCTTGTTTTTTGGCGGGTTTAGGCTCTTCCCTAAACCCTAAACCCCTAAACCCTAAACCCTAAACCCTAAAGCCTAAACCTAAGGTCAAAGATGGTGCCGCCGCCAGCTGCCCCTGCATCCCAGCCGCCCCGATCCAAGCTGCTCAGGGCTGAAAGCTTAGTTGAGCTTAGAAGTTCAGGGTCGAAGGATTTTAGAAGTTCAGGCTCGAAGAGAAGTTCAGGCTTGAATGATTTTGGAAGTTCAGGGTCGAAGGATTTTAGAGGTTCAGGGTTGAAGGATTTTAGAGGTTCAGGCTTGAAGGATTCAGGGCATTCCTTGGTGGACATGAGGGCGTGGAGGAGGTGCCCTTTGCTTCAAACTTCGACCTCCGGAGGGCTCCACCTCGCAGGTTTAGGGTTTAGGGTTTAGGGAGCTTCCACCATAGCAGCCCAAGCTCCCGGGAATCTCCAGCCTTTCAGCCTTGGTGTAGGCTTTTTGTGGCTCCAGCCTAACACCCAAAACTTTAAAGCCTAAACCTAGCCTAACCCTAAACCCAAAACCCCTGAATCCAAACCCTGAACCCTACACCCTAGATCCTCCTGAACCCTAAACTCAAAACCCCTGAATCCAAACCCTGAACCCTAAACGCAATCCCAAGCCTTGGCCCAAGCCCAGTAAGGTCCACGACAGCAGCGCCACCAGCGCAGCCGCGCCTCGCCCCGGAGACACGTAGATTGGATAATCGGGGTTCAGGGTGTAGGGTTTAGGGTTCAGGGTTCAGCGTGTAGGGTTTAGGGTTCAGGGTTCAGGGTTCAGGGTTCAGGGTTGAGGGTTTAGGGAATAAAGGGGCCTGAATAATTAACAATACCATTTTGGGGGTTCCTTGTTTTATTTTTACCATAATGTACCCCAAAACCCTTTTGCATTATTCAGGCCCCTACATTAGATTGGGTAGTAGGGGTTCAGGGCTTACGGTTCAGGGCTTAAGTAGGTGCCAGTTTTATTCCGTAGGGTTCCCTGTTGTAGCTGTAGTACATAATATACCCTCAAACCCTATTCTCATTATGAAGGCCCCGTTGTAGGATCACTACTAGAATGACACCCGACATGAGATACTTTACGGGTTAAGAGGCGTCCATTAACGGTTGCAGGATTTGGGAATGCTCTCGCTACAGGATATATTGGTGCCCAACATGATGCCGAAACCCTCAAATCCTACCGTGTCGCCCCCAAGGCAGAGCATACCCTAAACCCCAAACCCTGTGCGTTTTTGAGGTATAGGTAAGCTACAACTATACTATAACTATACTATAACTATACTACAACTATACTTATAACTATACTATAACTATACTATAACTATACTATAACTATACTATAACTATACTATAACTAATGACAAACCCCAAACCCTCAATCCTGGCACGTAAGTCCACCTAAGGCGCAGGATAAAGATTCCGCTTCAGGTCCGTGACGGCAGCATTGCGAGCACCTCCCAAGGTGACCCAGTGGGGAGGGTTGTGGACGACCTTATGATTTAGGGTTTAGGGTTTGGGGCTTGCGGCTTGGGGCTTGGGGCTTGCGGTTTAGGGTTTAGTCCCAAATCTCGCTTAGGGCTTGGGTTTGATCTTCGGTGTTTGCGGGGGGTTCATGGAGATGCATGGCTCATCGCAATGATCCAACCTTGTGAAGAACAGGTGGTGCGCAAAGGAAGCAGTTGCTACGAACACCATGCGTAAGTCGAAATACAAGCTCAGATATTGTACATAGCTAGGGGGTTTAGGATCTAGGGTATAGAAGTTCAAGTGGATCAAAACAAGCGGTGCAGAACCATTCAGCGAGGGGAGAAGCACAGAGGTTTTTCGGCCCTGGGCCCTGCCACCGCACTCCCTTTGTCCCAAACCCTAAACCCTAGTCGTAGCTGCCAGGAGGCCCTGGAACCGATCCTAACCCGACCTGCAAACCCTACACCCAAAATTTAAGCTCTAGGTTCTCTAGAACCTCAAAACCCTAAACCCCTAGACCCTACCCCTAAAGTCTAAACTTTGCAAGGGGCTGTCCAGCCCTTGTCATTCGGAGCAGATGTCCCAAATCATTAGGGCCTAAACCCTAAACCCTAAACCCCGAGGTTTGAGCCCTTCATTCAGCCGAAAGCCGAAAACCTCTGAGTCCTAGGCCCTGAACCATATGGGAGTTTCCGCAAATAAGGGGTACCGTATTTTGGGGTCCTTATAATAGGGATCCTAGTATTTAGGGTACTATATTCGGGTTTCCTATTTTCGGAAACCCCCATATTCTAGAAGCCCCTGAACCATCCCGTAACCCTCAACCTCAAGCCTAAACCCTCAACTCGACGCCCTGCGCCCGAAGCCTCAAACCGAGCCGTGAACCTTCTTTTTCTTACGTATATTTAAAATGTCTTTGCGATGTCGGTCCCTTTGAAAAAGACCGAAACCCTAAACCCTAAACCCTAAACCGATCGGTTTTTGTTTTTGCAGTTTCGGTCATTCCGGGACCGGTGTTTTTTTGCACTTCGGGTCACGGCTGGTCTCCTTTAAAACTTTATGGTTTCAGGAAGGGGCTTTAATGGATTAGAATAGGATTCTGGGTTTAGGGTTTAGGGTTCAGATAATGTAGGGGCCTTAATAATTAGAACCGGGTTCCTTTAAAGGGATCCCTTCAAGGAGTTCTGCAAAGGATCTATAGTACGGACCTTAATAATTTTAATAGGGTTCTAGGGGTGCCTTATTATAGCTATGGTATACTGGGATCCAAAACCCTATTCTAATTATTAAGGCCCCTACATCATAGGGCTCGAGCCTGGCCTGCAGATCAAGAAATTGCTGAACTCTTTTCTTCAAGTGGATGAGAATAAAGCCCTAAACCCTAAACCCTAAACCCTAAAAAGTTGTATTTTTGAAGTTTTTTGGGAGTCTCTGGCAGTTCTCGAGGTTCTAAACAGCGAGCTCGGCTAGATACTGCTCGACCCGGAGCTTCTGAACCCTGAACCCCAAAACCCTAGACCCTAAACCCTAAACCCCAAATCCTAGACCCTAAACCCTAAACCCCAAACCCTAAACTCTACACCCTACACGCTAAGCCCCAAACCCCAAACCCTAAACCCTACTGTAAACCCTGAACCCCAAACCCCAAACCCTAAACAATAAACCCCAAACCCCCAAACCCAAAACCCTAAACCCTAAACCCTAAACCCTCGACCCAAAGCAGGTTGGGTCCACCTCTGGGCCACCGGCCAAGCAGCCCGGTCAGGGCGTCTCTTCCTGGCGGAAGCCCAGGAGGGGCGCTGCGAGTCGTTTCGGACGTAAAGGTTTGGGGTTTTGGGTTTGGGGTTTGGGGTTTGGGGTTTAGGGTTTGGGGTTCAGGGTTAAGGGTTTGGGGTTCAGGGTTTAGGGTTCAGGGTTTAGGGTTTAGTGTTTAGGGTTTCGGAAATAATGACGCCTGCGAGTTCGGTGCTAGCAGACTTGCGGTAGCCTTAAACTTCGAAGGGTTCTCAAT